AAAATCCCTCAAACGAATTTAGGTCCCTACGAACCTGAACATAAGGACTTAAAATCCTTAGTACATTCAGAAGTCTTGAAAACTTACGAACGAATCCAGATTTACGTGAATCTATCCTTAATGGCCTTAAAAGCTCTTTGGAAAGAATTTAGATCCCTTAAGATCTTAATCTAATCTCAAAGATCAAGGAACTCATTCCTGAAAATCTCATTTCCAATCACAATCGAAATCACTGTGACCTCTAAGGTCACAAGGTCAGCTGTTAACAAGATCCGCGATCTGATTCCGGAAAGATCACATGAATCCCACACTTAAAACGTTACAATACATGATTCGAGTTTACACTTCGAAGTCAAACAAATCCAGGTCCCTACGAACCTGGACCTAAGGTTTTAAAATCCTTCAAACAAATCCAGGTCCCTACGAACCTGGACTTAAGGTCTTAAAATCTTTCAAACGAATCCAGGTCCCTACGAACCTGGACCTAAGGTCTTAAAATCCTTCAAACTAATTCAGGTTTCCGTGAACCTGAACCTAAGGTCTTAAAATCCTTCGAACGAATTCAGGTCTCCGTGAACCTGAACCTAAGGTCTTAAAATCCTTCGAACGAATTCAAGTCTCCGTGAACCTAAACCTAAGGTCTTAAAATCCTTAGTAACCTCAAAGGTCCTAAAATCCTTTAAACAAGCTAATTCAGGTTTCCAGAAACCTAAACCTAAGGTCTTAAAATCCTTAGTAACCTCAAAGGTCTTAAAATCCTTTAAACAAGCTAATTCAGGTTCCCAAAGAACCTCAATCTAAGGTCTTAAAACCCTTAACAAAACTCAAGGTCTTAAAATCCTTCAAACACAAATTCAAGTTCCCAAAGAACCTCGATCTAAGGTCTTAAAATCCCTAGTAAGCTCAAAGGTCTTAAAATCCTTTAAACAAGCTAATTCAGGTTCCCAAAGAACCTCGATCTAAGGTCTTAAAACCCTTATCAAAACTCAAGGTCTTAAAATCCTTCGAAAACAAATCCAGGTTCCCAAAGAACCTCAATCAAAGGTCTTAAAACCTTAACCAAACGCAAGGTCTTAAAATCCTTCAAAAAAAAAAAAAAAAAAATTCAGGTTCCCAAAAACCTCAACCTAAGGTTGCAAAAACCCTTAGCAGCGTTCGAGATCTAAAAGATATCCCAAGTAATTCAGGTCCCAGAAACCCATCCTCGGGACCTCTCGCTAAAAGGCTACGGGACCGGTTATCAACAGGCTCCCCGACCTTCACCTGAAAGTTTCCTAGACCTCATGTCTAATGACTACGGGACCTGTTACTATCAGGACCCAAAATCCTTCGTTCAAGGAAGTAAAAACTTCTACTTAGACGATCGAGTCCGTATTAAGGAATTCATCAGAACATCGACGAAGATCGAAGATCCTAACAAAGCAAGGGTTTAAAAGCCTCCTCAGGCCACAAGTCTTACCAAAGATAAAAAGAAAGCCCATTGGACATAATTCTTGGGAACACAAAGACATAATCGCTATCTCAACAAAGAGATAGAGATCAGGCGGTTGAGCTTTAGCTTCCGAGAAAAAACGTCTCATCTCGAAAGCTGGGGGCAACTGTTGGGCCCAAATATGGCTCGCTAGCTAAGACTAATGGGCTCGAGCGATAAGAGTTGACTATGGGCCACTGTAAGCCCATTGGCAATTAATCTTTTGAGAAAAGAGTTAAAAAGAAGCCGGAGGCTGTTTGCTAAGGAAGGAACGTCAACAAAATAGGTCACAGAGGAGAGCTCCGGACCTCATTTACAAAGAGCTAACTGGAGTAGCTCAGGCTGGTTGCGCAGGTTCCGGTCAAAAGGAGACTGTTGAGAATCCCCCAACTCACGGAGCAAATCTCGGAGGCTGGTTAGGATCGTTCAAACGTGGCTGAGAGCTATTTAAGGAGGAGGAGGAGATCAGAGAAAAGTCTCCTCTCTCGATTCATTTATTCTACCATTTACACACATTCTAGTTCATAAATCATTCTCATAACTGTTTGTAATCATCAGAATCATCTTGATAATCATCTTTGTAATCATTCTTTCACCAAAAACATCAATACAATCATAATTCATTCTCTAAGTTCTAACGGGATTCAGCCCACGTTATCTTCTCTCCAATCTAAACCTAACCTAAAATCAGGAAGTGAGTTTTATCCTTCACAAATACCAAGTCTATGGCTAAAGCACTTTCTATCAACGGTTCACACATGGAAAGCATCGTTTAATTCAATCTCTTTTGTTAAAAGAATTAGTAATAGTTGTGCATATTTGCTTGCAAAGAAAACAAATATTTCTACCACAGATTGGAGTTTGTTCCATTCTGTTCCAACTTTTGTTTACAACAATGTATTCTTGGACAATAATGAATAAAATTTTTAGTCGGAAAACAAAACTTACAGAGATTGTAAAATTTATTTTATATATTTATAATCTTGTATAAATAAATTTAAAATATATGTAAAATATTTATTGATAAATGATCTAAAATTAATATGTTATCATCATTATTTTGGTAATGACTTTTTTATTTATTTATTAGCATAATTAAGTAACATATATAAAATCTAACAAAATATCAAATCTTAGAAATACAATAATATATAAAAAAGAAAGAAATGTATCATTTATTTCTCTATGTATTGATTTAATAACCAAAGCTGCATTTAGAATAAATCTTTCGTTTTCTAAGTTCCGGCCAAATTGTTTTCTTTTCACGAGTTGGTTTAGTCCATAAAAATCGTGGTACATACTCCGTAAATGGTTGCTAATGTTTTGATATTCAGACCAAACATTCTCAGATAACACCAGCTTTTTCTACGGTTCCCTAATACCAACACTTAAGTTTATTATATAACCTTAATAGGTTTTTTTGGGACGCGATTTCTTATGCTACGGTAAACAAAATTACAAAATACTTGCATGTGGGGGAAGAAGTTACATTGAGTGTGCAAATCTTGATATTGATGGATAAAAATGATACATAAAGCATTACTAATAAAAAAAAACATTACTAACCAATCACTAGTCAGTTTAGGAAAAACCAACTTCTTGATCAGGAACGTTTGTCTGATATATCATATGAAAATCAGAAAGAATATGATGGTGTAAGAATACTATTTTCTAGCATTTGTGGTTTTTATTTTTATGTAATGTTTTATTTGAATGCTTTCATAATACAATTTAGATGTTCACTGTTTCAGTAAATAAATAATACTGTATATGTTATTATTCGAAATATTTTTTATATTTTACAAAAAGATGTTTGTATGTTTCTAAATCTTTTGCCTCCGCATATACTTGTACATTTATGTTTTCAGACAACCTAGATAAATAACTTAAGAAAATATTTAAGCAGCACTAATCATTATTTTGAGTGATGAATGCTTTACTAATCAATACATTTATGTACATCTGCATAAAACATTTAGAGAGAAGCAGAACGAAAACGAATGCGACCGAAAAAATAATAAAACACTAACAAAATGTGAAACTGGACGGCAGTCGGAACTTATGTAGCAAAGTGTAGCCAGAGCAAAAATGCGTCAGCCAGAGTACTTGCGTTCCATGCGGGCTTAGCTAACAAACAAGTTATTATAGTAAACGACACAATTTATTCAATAAGCATAGTTATTTGATTCTAATAATCATTATAAATATTGATGTCAACATCATTCAAAAAAAAATAGATGTGAAAATGTCTCCATGCATTTGTCATTCGGTTCGAATAATTTTACCATATTGGTCCCATTGATGCATCATGCATGTATGTTATATTATCTTGTCTCGTTTGTTCATATGTTGTTTAGCTTTACTATTACCCAATGAAATCACACATTATAATAGCTTTACAATTACCCAACGTGTTTTTTGTTGGTGTTAATGTGTTATTGATGACCTAGATTATATAGGAGAGAAGGAAATCAAACACCAAAAATTATATATATGAGCGATCACTTAACACGTAGTCTTATTGATAATCAAACAATGTTTGGGGGCAACGAAACTCAGCAGTTTATCTCACAGGATTCATGCCTACGCAGACTACGTTCAGCAGCATCGACAGGGACATCCGCAACACCATTAGTGCGAGAAGACGTAGCAAAAAATTATTTCCTCTTATACAACTTTGGATTAGATGACTTGTTTTCTCTTATCTGATTTTCTTGTGCATACTTTGTTTTGTTTTGCCAAGGTAAGCATTAACTTGGCTTATGTAGGTGATGATTGTTTCTTAGTTTTTAGATTTTGGTTTCTGGTTTTTAGTTTTTGGTTTTTGGTTTTTAGATTTTGGTTTTTAGTTTTTGGTTTTTAGTTTTGTAGTAGATTTTGGTTTTTCAAAAAAGCATGAATGGTTGTTTTATATTTTGGTTTTCAGCTTTTGGTTTTTGCTTTTTATATTAATAAAATGAAAATTTTATTAATAATAATTTTTTTCCTGAAAAAATATAAATATAAAATACCATTATTAAAACACACATAAAATTATTTCATAAAAATTATTTTAAAAAATTATTTTAAAAAATTATTTTAAAAAATTGCAAATACAAAATAAAATTATCGTCAATCCCATAAAGATGCAGAAATTTGATCTCGAATGCCTTCCATATAGTTTGCTTGAGTGTTATTATGCTCTTCGTCTTCATCTGAATCAGAATCTTCAGTTGGTATATTACCAGTTGTGTCCGCATCAAAATCAACATCTCCTAAATTGGATAGTCTTATAAAATTATGTAACACCATTGTTGCTGCAACAACTCTTCTTTGAACATGTATAGTGTACCTTGGTTTCTCTCTTAAAACCCGCCATTTTCCCTTCCACACACCAAAAGTCCTTTCAATAACAGACCGTAGCGAAGAATGTCGTTTGTTACCTCCCGCCATTTTCCCTTCCGTACACCCGTTTGGAACTCTGGTTGTAGGAAGACGGTGTTTCAGTTTGGTTTCCTGAAGGCGCATCAGAATCATCTTCTAGATTCACAGTATCGGTTTCATTCTCGGTAACCGTCTCAGACTCGGTATTCTGATCTACTCCAGAATCGGGATAGTACCCATCATCAGTTGAAATGTGTTTGCCTCCAAAAAGTCGATCCAATCTGTCGATATCAGTGAGGGGATGTGCTCGGAGTTTTGACGCATCAGGTATTTCCTAAATAGAAATTATAAAATATTAGTTTATCATAATTAAAAAACAATTGTGCAAACAATGGTCAAAGATTACCTGAATGCGATCATTCCAGCATTCGTCATCCATTTGAATAGTTTTTGTAGTTTCACAAAATGAAACTCCCGTCATACGGCTCAGTCGACGATAAATGTCATACATCTTTTTTATAGAGTAAATTTTTTTTTTAACGGAATCCATCCTGGATTTTGACCTGTAGCTTCTCGGAAAGCATTTGTGATTCTTGTTTTACTCTCTTTTTTTAATGGACCAGTACGCCAATTAATTTTTTTCCATTTCATTTTCATATACTTCAAGAAAACTATGAATCCTAGAATTGTTCCATATTATCTTCCCCTTAATAATAATATAATAGACACTTTATTAGTTAAACTACATAAACATATAATTTTTAAAAAAAAAATAACATATAAAATATTTATACACTAAATATATACCTCTTTGCCGTTTGATGATTGTCCCTGATGAGCCATGCCTATAACAAAATACGTTATATAATTATGGTAAGTATAGAATTTTATGTAAATCAAATACTATAAAATAAAATCAGTAGTTGTTTTCTCAAAAAAAGCATCAGTAGTTGTATATTATAAAAAATATATTAATAGCTATACTTGTAAAACAAAAACAATATATTACACTCTAATACTTATATTAACTATTAATCTACGTACCAAAAGTAATAGGTACATTAACACAAAACATTATAGAATTAACTTACGTTAACACCACTCCAATTGCTTGATTTCTAAAGAAAGCTATTGTTTGAGAGGTTTTGTTTAGTGTGTTCTGTTGAGTAGCAGATGTAGGTGTTATATACATATTTGGAAGACCTAAAAATAGTAATGTTTAGCAAAAAAAGTGGAATAATAATTTATAGATAACAGCTAGATGAATAGTCCTAGTCGTAGTAAATACTAAGTAAAAACCAAAAGAATAGGAAGTATAACTTATAAGTATCCCCTATATATTAATTGAGGAACATTTAAAAAGATGTAACCTCAATTTTGTATTAATTAAAAGATGCCCCAATGCATATGTGTCATTCAATTAGGTAGTCAATTAGATTCAATTGAAAAATAAGTAAATCCACATTGGATTTTTATAGGTTGCTAGATACATTAATTAGTCAAACTATATGATATAATGATATGATATGCTATTTTCTTTCCATAAATAAAACTTACGGAATTACCATAAATGACTAATATATATATATGACACTTAATGATTGTTCCCTAAGATATAATTACTATTTTATTTTATTTCCATAAATAAAACCTACGGAATTACCATAAATGACTAATATATATATATATGAAACTTAATGATTCTAATAATAAATATTTGATAACAGTTTATATATCCTCTATCATTTTTCTTTAATTTTATATTATTAAAATAAATTAAACAATCAAATTAGCTATAAAATTAAACTTTAGTTTTTTTCGTATAGGTTATATTTTGAATTTTAAGAAACGAGAATAAATAACTAAACTATTAAAATTATTATGTTAAAAATTAATGATCAATAGTTTAACATTTTATTATAAAACGATATACATGATTTTAAAACCATATAAGTAAAAAGTATCATTCAATAATAAAACAAATATATATATATATATATACAGATTAAACTATATACCATATAAGATTACATAAATATTTTAATTTCAAAATTTTCAATAAATTTTCAATAAATTTTCAAGAACATTTATAAATTATAAACTTATTAAATTTTTCACATTGAAATTTTTTGTTACCAATGATTTAAATATCTTAGTTCTTTTTTTAATTTTATATTTTTAAAGATATTAACAATCGATAATATGGTTATTTTTGGTATATACCATACAAACCAAATGGATGTGATTTTATAAAAACCATAGGATTTGGATATGGTTTGATTTATAATCGATTAAACTGAAACATGTAAATATGTACATATTTATAACGATGCATGAATATCTATTTGTTACATGAGTTGAACTATAATTATAATTTGTAAATAGCTAACAATATATTACAACTAAGACTTCTTATTTTGATCTTTTGCTTTTTTAACAGTAACTAAGTTGAAGTAAAGATTATAAATTTGATGGACAACAATTAGTTGAAATTCTTTACAACTTTTTTTTTATCTTTAAACAAACATAGTTGTGTTCAATCGAAGACATATTGGTTTGATGAACACTAAATATGGAAGAATATAAAAACTTTTATTTCATGCTTCGGTTTTGTTTTTTATTTTATTTTTTCAAAATTTAGTGTTTTGATATTAATTCTATATTTGATCATTTTATTAGATGATAGAAGCTTTTTTTTTATTCTTTTATTTAAATATATAACATTTTTTTAAGAAATGACTCTGTGACAATATGACTCTAAATATGATCATATTATATATTTGTATAATATATAATATGATCTCAAACTAAATAATTATGTTTTTTGGTATAAAATTGAATAAACTGAAAACCGATGGTATATAAACCAAATCAAACTGAAGTACATATAGATTTAGAATAGTAGTTATATTTTAATGATCAAATAACAAAAAATCGAGCCGAACCCGAAACCCGATATACGGATTGAACACCTCTAATCCGAATGAAACCGAACTATTGTTTCATTTTTAAAAACATAATAAAAATAATAGCTTCGTCCCGCGCAAGGCACGGGTCTTTTCCTAGTGAAATATTAAAAGAAAGAAAAATATTATTCCTAGTTCTAAGTAATGCTAAGTAAACAAAAAAAAAGGAGTAAATATACCTCATAGGTAGAAAATAGTGAAAAGTAAAATAAGAAAAACTAAAAATTAGTTTTAGCAATTGGAGTGGTGAGTGTATATCTCATTGCAACTCATCCTAAAAATATTAAAAAAATAAAATAAAATAAAAAACTAAAATTATCAACAATATTTATTTTATGTAGTTTAAATCAGTTTAGTTATTAGATAATGATAACATTCAATATTATAATAGTTTTAGTACAATAATTTTTGATTATGATTAGCATAGAGAAATATAGGCCATGCCTTAGGATTTGTTTTGTTCTGTAGTACTTTAAGTGTGCGTAGTTCCAGCTCTTGCATTAACAAACCAAGTCAAATATATAGGTGTATTATTGATTTTTGAATATTATTCCTATATAGCTGTAAATTAATTTCTATTATATTTTAAATAAATATAGAGATTTAAAATATTGTACACAGTGTATAATATATTTATATATACTAGGTATAGGTAAACATCATGTCCATATTACATCAACAATATATATATATATTTAATTTGGTAGTTTACATCAATCTATTATTAGTTAATGATAACATTCTAATATAATAGTTTTAGTACAATAATTTTTTGTTATGTTAGCATAGATGTATATGCCATAGGATTTGTTTTAAAAGTAACGTAGGATTAGATTAATGATTTTCGTTAGTAGGCAACCAGGTCAAATATATACTAGTATTGTTATTGATTTTTGAGTATTATTCCTTATTTCATTTTATTAAATAACATTTTAGAAATAAAAGTAAAATCATCGACCAAAAACTACAAAAACATGGTTTCTGGTTTTTTCTTGAAAATAGGTAGTTAAACTAAAAACTAGTTTCCCTACATTTTAGGAAAACCATTTCTTCAAAAACTTGATTGCATAAAATTTGATTTTTTCAAAAACAAAAACCAAAAACCATTTTAAAAACTACTAACAATCAACACCGTAATCCTAAACCTTTCATTTTTATGAATATTCACAGTTTAACAAAAAAAAAAGAGTTATTTGCACAGAAAATACTCAATAACCATGAAATTTACAAAGATAGAAAAATATAATAGGACCCAACATTAGTAGGTGTAAAATGACACTAATGATCCTATTATCCAAGCAAGTATTATTTTATTCAAAATATTTTTCTGTTGTCTCTTTTTCTCTCGTTTTACCTTTATTACTTATTCACAATTTTCGTCATTAGCTTTCGTTATCTCCTTCTTTCAATATTATATCTCTGTACAAAATTCCTCGTTCTCTCTTTTTTTTCGTTATCTCTTGTTTACTTGCATTCTAGGATTCACTGGCACTTTGATGGTGAAAATGTACGTCTCCTCTTAGCCCAAAAACTCCCAAAATTGCTCCTTCCTCAAACCTTAGGGTTTCGAGTGAAATCAAATATTAGAATTACATCAACTCATAGTCTCACATCGCATTACTGTTCTTTATTTTGAATTTAAACTCTTGTTATCAAGTTCGTCTCGTTATCCCCATAGAGAATTGCTGGGCACGAAAGATAATATAATAATTAGCCAGCTAACATGAGTTCAAGGCTGGTCCATGTCAATCGGAGGCCCTAATCGTGACTGAAAAAAATTACCCCTTTAGTTAATATTTATGAGTTATAACCATAATACCAATTATTTATATATAATTATACTCACAAAATTCTTTCATCGAAAAATAAATAAGAAAAATAGAGCATGATTTATAAAAAAAAAAAATTCAATAGAAGATAAACGTGTAAAATTACACCAAAAAGAATTAATGTGTAAACAAATATTTGTATTATCCTTTCACAATATAATCGAAAAATATGTTGTTAAAAAAGAAACAAGAATTTCATATTGGACTTACAAGCCCAAACAATTTAGAATTTAACTCAAAAGTGTAGTTTAGCCCAAATATTGTTTAAATTTAACTTAAAGAAAAACTAAAAGTTAAACTCAAAAATTGTTGGGCCCTAGGCAGTTGCTTACTTTGCTTCCCCTACGGGCCGGGTCTGCATGAGTTGTTAATATTTATGTATTTGTTAGTTTAGCTGGTTAACTTTTGTTAATTTAGCTGACTAGCCAATATATTTTTACATATTTGTATCAATTTGTTTCACGCAATATATTTGTTAGTTTAACCTGCTAACACATATATGTTTACGTATTCATCTTCTCTGCTTTTGATATGGGTAGTGTTATCATAGTTGACTCATTTATATCTTCTAAAAATTGGCATGGCTACGTGGTCGGTTAAACATAAAATTCACTCTATAACCAACCACAACACATATGACTGTGTAAGGCTAAATATAAAATTAGCTCTTTAACAAACATCACATATGATTAAAAATACTTTTAGCCGGATATAAT